GGGGAAAAGGGCTCCAGGCGGCACCCCGCAGTCGCCTCCTCATCTCTCCTGTCCTCCCCACATCTCCACTCTGCCCGGGTCTCGGGTCGCGGGTTTAGGGCACCGGCTCGGGTCACCCACCCCATCTGCCTCTTGGACCCCGAGAGAGGGCGCTGTGATCGAGCCTGGCCGCCATGTTGTTTGCTGACTGTCACTGGAGAGGCTGGAGAGGGCGAGGAGGGGACCTGGCACGGGGGCCATGGTGGAGAATCTAGACTCGAGGGGCTAAGAGGGGCCTGGAGAGGGTCAGGCCAGGTTAGAAGGCAGCAGGGTGGGCGCGGCAGTTCGGCTTGTCCAACGACCCTGGCCTGGAGCGCTTAGCCCCTTGGGTGAGTGTCCTGGGGTCTGGGCTGGTGACCTTTCCTCCTCAGCGTGAGCTCAGGTCTGAGCCGCCTTGGAAGCCCGGCTCTGCCTGCCAGGACCAAGGAGGAACGGCCGTGAGCGAGCGAGCCTGTGCATCCTTAGGAGACGACCTTTTCTTGATGGCGCCTACAGCCTCTACCTACAAAGGAAAAGCGGGGGTGGAACTTGGAACCTTATGGGTCCCATCTTCCCCTCCACAGGACCTGAGGGCCAAGCCATTCTCTCTATTCTATCCCCCTTCTGATTGCCAAATCCGCCTCTTCTTCCAGTCCCACGCGCCTACCTTCAGCTCTTTCCCTGCATCCCTTGGCTGCCTTCTTTCCTTTTGCCTTTCCACTTATAAATTACAGATGAACATTCCCAAACACCTCTACATAATCCTTAATCTCACATTATAAAAGAAGAATAAGAATTTTTAAACTGAAGTGGAAAGCTTGTAATCATCATCTTGAACAACCTCTCCATCAAGACCTATCAGACAATTTCCTTTGGTTTTTTTTTTTTTTGTTTTTTTTTTTTAATAACGCCTCCTCCTTTTCCTTTTCTCAGTCTACTGGAGCGGCGAGACACCTGCTGATCTAAAAGCAGGGGAGAGTACCAATGCTCTGTATCACCGATAGATATGGAATTTCTAGGCTTTCAAGTTGTGTGGCTTTCTTATTTTGCTAGAGGTTGACTGAATTTTCAGATAGATTCAAAGAGACTCAGATTGAAATATAAGAAACAAAAATGTCTGCAAAATAAGTCCAAAGATGTCTTTTTTATTATTGTTTTACATAATTCACAGCAGTAACTAAGTACATCTTGATGAACTTGTGTGCTTTTCAAACCCAGAATTTGTAATGAATACGCTTATTAGTATTCAAGGTTGCTGTCTAAATTGTAAATTCTGACGTTCATTTATAGAAAGCCTTTCTAGTTTTAATATAGTTGCTGTCACCACCTATTTAAATGTTATTTTAAAAAGGTATGGAGTAAGTGCCATAGAGTCAGCGAAAAAGTATTTCATTGCTAATTAACCTGGAAGGGAAGTGATATGTACAGACATTACTTGGAAGCATCCGTCTCCTCCTTTCTGTTGTTCCTCAATTCTTTTTCCTAGGATTTTCTTTTCTTAAGCCTCTGAGATCTTCATCCCATAGAGTGAAACAATTATTTCCACTTTTAGCAGGTCAGCATGTTGCTTATTTGATGCAGCAACAACTCAGATGTTATTTTTTAAGCTGAAGCCTTTATCCAAGGTATTCTATGATGCTAAGTCTAGGTTGATGGAACAAACAGGGGGAACGCATCTTTCCTGTTACTTTTAGCTAGATTTAATAGTTTGCTATAAAAATGCTTGGATGAGAAACAACTTGAATTACATGCCTTATGCTTTTCCTTTTAATGTGTGAGACTAAATAAAAGTGTGTCTGTTCATCTAGTCATAGTCAATAGAACAAAATGCTTAAATATTGGCAAAACAAGGCAAGTTATTGCACCAGGATTTTTTTTTGTTTGTAATTGCACCAAAATAGACAGTAACCCTTTTCTAAGCAAGCCGGCTGATAATTCAAACTGCGAGTTATATATCTAAAATGAGAGGTAATTCATGGACATTTTCTTTTAGTTTCTATTAAAACTCCTATGTTGTTGTTGCTGTTGGCTATGCCGTCGAGTCGATTCCAACCCACAGTGACTCTGTATAGGGTTTCCGAGGAGCAGCTGGTGAGCTTGAACCACTGACCTTGCAGTTCAAATGATTTTGCAGTCTGACGCATTAACCAACAGCACCACACCAGGACTCCCACTCTGCACCTCTCCAGTAATTCCGCTCCCCACCCCCCCAATCTCAATGACTGCAACCTCATCTTGGAGTACATGTGAATGAAAGAGGGAATAAGGCAGTGTGAATAGAGGGCAATATATATGTTGTTGTTGTTGTTAAGTGCCATCGAGTCGGGTCCGACCCATAGCGACCCTGTACAGGGTTTCCGAGGGTATATATATTGTTGTTATGTGCTGTGAAGTCAATATATATGTTGTTGTTGTTATGTGCTGTGAAGGTGGTTCCGACTCATAGCAACCCTGCATAGGGTTTCTGAGGTTGTAAATCTTTACGGGAGGTCACTGATAAGGGGAAGTGAGGGAAAAACAACAATGAAGCTGCAAGCTAAGTCCAACCACATTCAATAGACTCCTGTGAACCCGGGTGGAAACCTGGTTGGCCAGCAGTTTGGCAAGATCTGGGGACTCCTGGGCCCAGTCAGTGACATAGCCACAGAGGACTAGAGCAGAGAATGAAGCATCCAGCTGATAAGAAGAGGGCATATGCACAAGAACACCCATACCTGTAGATAATACCCACTTGACCTGGCTTCAATGGCTGGATAATCAGAGCTTAACTAGAAGAAGAAAGAAGATGAAAAAAAGAGTAATCTGATACAATTTTATGAACTTGACCTATACCTATGGATGCAGTAGCTCAAAAGGAACAAATCTTTACAGCGACGATCATTCCCACCCCCTCAATACACAGGGTAGACAGGGATAGGCAACTTGGACATTGACTACCCAAAATGGGGTGGGGAGAGCACTACAAAGGCAAGAAGTGACTGGCTTACAAGCTTTCAAGAGGGAGCCTAGATCCAGAGGGCACAGAGGAAGGAAGGCAGAATCTCCACTGAGTAGTATCCAATCTGTCTGATGAAAGGAGATGGGGATAGCATTCATGTGGTACAATAGTGAATGATTAATATCAGGACTGACTGTGAGGGTTGGAAATGTAAAAGTAGATGTTTTGTAGCAAAAGGAAGGGAGTGGTTGACTTTGCAGGCCAGTTGCAGAGGCCCTGGGACCATCAAGGGAGAAGAGCAGAGTGTGGGACCCTACCCAGAGAAACAGTGACGCCAGAGATAGAGGCAGAGACAATGACATGGAGAGATGAAGCGGTTGGGAACTCTTGACCTAGAAAGGGAGAGGGGCTGTGTGCTGAGGACCAGGGGGCAGGCTTGCAGGGTGTACCCTTTGGTTGGTTGATGATGCATGGAGGGGATTGTAATCATTACAATGAAATGAAATAAGACAGGATGAATGTAAAGCTAATGTTATCCCATGTAAACTATCACATAATTCACAATAAAACAGTTTAAAAAAAAAATCTTTACGGGAGCAGAAAGCCTCATCTTTCTCCAGCAGAACAGCTGGTAGTTTTGAACTGCTGACCTTGCGGTTCACAGCCCCATTTGTAACCACGTCTCTCATTC